GCTTCATCTGGATTATAGACAGATATAGCTGGGTATCATCAGCATAACAGTGGAAATTAATCCCATGCTGTCTAATAAAGTTTGGAAACAGATAGGCCTTATAGTGCGGAAAATACGGTTTGTACGTTTATCACCATCATATAGGTTATAAAATCCAAGAAAGTCTAACAATAAAAATGTTAATGAATAATAATAATGTTTAATTGAATACAGGGTGTGAATAATTCTAGAATTTCTAGTTCTAGTTGATGATATTTCTGTGGGATAATGCCCATCCTTCCTCTGATCCTGTTTCAGCTGAACGGCAGCACTCAGGTCAAAGTGCCCAGCCATTATATCTCCTCCCAGATGTTAGCTCCTCCTGGACCAGCAGCCTCCCTCCCCAGACCAGCAGCTCCCACAGAGTCTAAAGCTTCTACCTCCTCCTCTGATGGGGGGGCCAACTCCCCTACATCTCCCAGTAAGTGAAAAACCAGTTTAAAATCAAACATGTGGAGTCAGGTTCCTTTGGCTGGAGATGTTTGGCTCTTCCTGTGGAGAGGAGGCTGAGGTCTCCATGGAGGTAGATTTCAGGTCCGTCTGTCTGAGGGTTGATTGGGCCTGAAGCTAACGTGTGGATGAAGCCATCTTGTTCTTCTTGGCGGCTGGAACGGTGGACTGTTGGTGGACATGGCAGGGGATGGGGTGGGTTTACCTCCTTCCTGTGGGATAGACGGCCTCCTCCATCTGTGGAAACAAAGACCAGACCTGGAGCTTAGATGCTAAACGTTATCCTCTGTGTTTGATGGAGGAGCTTTGTGTTGATAATAGCGCCTTAAGCTAACGTCCGTGTGTGCTGCCCTCAGCATACTCCGCGCCTGGGACCCCCCCTGCCAGTCGGTCTTCCTTCGTTGGAATCAACCCTCGGGACCCGGGAGGACTTTACCAAACCCAGGTGAGTCCGGATGTTTGAACAGCTCGGCTCATTATTGATTCAATTAAGCATCAGATCCTCACTTTAATGTAATCCGGTTTAATCCGGCTGGTTCCTAAGAAGCAGCATGGAGCGGATTAACTGTCGTAGCAGTGAGGGTCAGAGTCCTCTGACCGTTACCAACTAGTTAACGTTGGAAGGGTCACTAAGGATCGGAGGCGGTATGACATTATCTGAACCATGAAGGTCTGCACAGCGTCCACTAGGAGGCAGCAGAGTCGCCTGCCTTAGAAAAATAGCTTCTAAGAATACTAAGAATTTTAAAGAGAATTAAAACGTTAATCAAGTAGTAAAATCTGTTAGATGCCAAAGCTAACGCCAGCATTACTTTGACCCAGATGTGCCAGAATTTTGATTATTTTTAACAAACTTTAACAGAAACCAGACTCCATGAGGGGATTAAGGAAGCAGTCTTTATTTCCTTTGTCTGTCGCCATGGCGACTGTAAGCCTCTCTAGCTGTGAAGTTTCTATCCTTCTCATCCTCGTCCCACAGCTCCCAGTTGGATGCTGGTTTAATGAAGTCCATCCAGCAGTTTCCTGCAGATCAAAGCTGCCCCGACAGATGGAGGCAGTAGTTCGCCTCAGAACCAAAAGAAGTACGGCAAGCAGTGGACTGATAAAAACAGGCCAGAGTGTTGAATCTAAAGACTTTCTTTAACCTCATCTGGTCCCAAAAGTTGGCATCAGGATTCGGAGACTGATTGCCAGTCTGTGATGGTGTTCTGTGGGATTTAATCATTGGCCGTTTCTCACTATGTGGACTTTGGCGTTCTCGTGAAACGTCATCAGCCTCAGCCCGAGTACTGTTCCAGTTCACCAGAACAGCAGACCGAGAACAGACAAAGTCTCTGGATGCTGTTCTCGCCCCTCCCTTTTTACCCAGCATGCATCAGAGCAGATTTGTCTGTTCTTGAGATTGACAGCTGTCCCAGCATGCACTGCGGCAGCAGCAGCTTTCAATGAAGCGCTCATTTGAAAGCTAAAAGTTCCCTTTCTGTGTCTGTTGTTCAATAAAAGGAAGTTTGAAGATCATTTGAGGCGAGAACATTATACTTCAAAGCTTCACTATATGGTCCATTTACCGATTTAATGTGTAATTTTGAAAAAAATCCAAAGTTGAGAGACCCGCTGCAACCAGCGGTGCTCCAAAACTAACGTTAGCCCGTCTGCAGCTGCCAGGGCTAACGTTAGCCCGTCTGCAGCAGCCAGGGCTAACGTTAGCCCGTCTGCAGCAGCCAGGGCTAACGTTAGCCCGTCTGCAGCAGCCAGGGCTAACGTTGGCCCGTCTGCAGCTGCCAGGGCTAACGTTGGCCCGTCTGCAGCTGCCAGGGCTAACGTTGGCCCGTCTGCA